AAAATATTGGTTAACGACATGCGTTAAATGAGCTCTGGTAGCTCACATGGTTAGCGCTCGCTGTAAATTCACATACAGTACGTGAGCAATCCGGGTTCAATCCCCGCCAGCACCAGTGAAATCGTTAGTAGTAATTTTAAGTGCTGATTTACCACGTGCTCGACGGTGAAAGAAAACATCGTGTTCCTCACGCACGATGACGAGACATGTAAAGTTAGCCAAGATGCATTGAGGCAGCGCGGCGGACACTTCCTTGCCCTAAAACCCTCTCAAAAATAAGGTTAGGCCTGTGCCCAGCCGAATATAGGTCCGTATATAACTGTATCTTTAATCAATCAATCAATCGCCATATTTTTTTATGGTACACCAATACACATTATATCGAGACAAAATGAAATAAATATATAGAAAGTACAATAGGCGGTCATATCGTTCTGAAAGCGATTTCTTCCAGACAACCCTTATTTAGCAAAGAACTGTTGTTTACAGTGAATTTCAAATAGGCTTTAACTAAACTTTATGCGTAAATTACCCTAGCGAACGAATGGGATCAGGTTCAAAGATACGAAACGTCTGGTACTTTGTTTTTCAATTCGTTTCCCAGGAATGGTGATAATGGCAAATCCCCCCAACAACGAGGAAGGGAGGAAGGCCCATGTCAAGTAGTGGACTTAGACGAGACGATGATAGTTAAAAGACGAGGTCTACAACCGTACAAAGACTTCCTTTTAGTTTTTCATTCTTCTACCTTTTACTTTTACTTTTATTAATATTAAGGCATACGTAAGCAAAGCTGCGATAAAAGGCTAGTAGTAAGTCTGAGTAAATTCCACATATTGAGATATCTTACTTTTATCTCCTCTGTACATAAATAAAGTACAAATCTATTTGGGTTTCAGACTCAAAATATCGTATTTTCATAAAAGTACTTTACGACTCTTAAAACTTCGAATCTTTTAGAGGCAGATAAACGACAAGCAGTTTTCCAACAGCTTATCTTTCAAATATAGGAAAAAACTTCTGAACTATAATATAAACCTAAGTGGCATATTTCTGTAGATTTCTTTTTCTTAAGTCTTATCTAATAAGTACTAGTGAAAAATATTAGACGATAAATACTTTTTTAGTTTGTTTTTGTCTGTCCAAATCAAGCAAAAACCTGAAGACAGATTTGGTTAGGGTTTTCGATACTTGTAAATATATTATGTCTTTTGTGACGCTGTCTTTATAGGACCTACCTACAACGATACAAAACAGAAGCATTGTTTTTTAAGTGTGTTTTAATAAATACTACTATATTTTAATATTATATGTACATAAAAACATATTACGTCAATCCTCAATTTTAAATGATTAGAATGCAGGACTAAGATAAAATGCTTCAAATTATTTACACTCATCGAATGAAACACACCAGCAAGCTTCTAATTTAAACTGGTATTTTGTGAGAATAATGCCCTCGATGCCGCATTGCAGCCACGGCGGCTAATCTCAACGGAGACTAGCCATAAGCGCAGGGCAGGATTATAATGCACAAGTGTGTGTACAATTACAGGAACACACTCTATTCTATCAATCTCATAGTCCAGTGAGACGTTTACTGACATGACTGGCGAAAAATTAGGCGCAGGCTACCAACGGCTTAACGTGCTTTCCGAGATATGTGGGTGAAGCACCGCCACTACCTGACTCCGGTCTGCAACTGAGAACTTCTTGACGAGAGAACCCAATTACTGCTTTGGCCCGATCGAGACCGACAGTGGCGCAGACTAACGAGGTAGTCATTTACATTTGAAAAAAAAGAATGCTTCCAAGACAGAACAATCGAAAGTAAGATCTATAAAACATTATACATTATACTTTCATTTTAAGCCTTAAAAATAATACTAACATTTCACTCCTTTGTACAATTAAGTCGCTTCATTGTGATTATTTATCATTATTTATAAAATATATATTGCATAAACGTGAAATGCAATTTGTGTCAAATCACTATGATATTTACGTTGAGGAAGAATATTAGTGGATGTGAAGCTGAAGTTACGTTAAGAAAGCATTAGTGGCGAAAGGCTTTTAGTGGCGGTAGGAGAGAATTGACCCTTGAGTGCCGGTTAGAGTCAAAAGATTGAAATGAAACCAGACATGGGGAGCAGCATTTTCATAATGACAACTCAGAATAGTAAATATCTCCACAATGAGGCAATCTGTTGGAGAGGCCTATATTCGGCAATGTGCTTTTCATAGGAGTGAATGAGTAAATTACTGAATTACTGGATATTGCATTTTATTGTGATTTCAATATCTCCTCAATTTATCTCTACCTATAAAAATAAATTGTTGTCCGTTAATCTCGCTTAAACTCAAAAATAGTTTGACCGATTTTGATGATTTTTTTATGTGTTTTAGTGAGTCCGTAGATGGTTTATATTTATTTGAACCCGGTAGGTGGCGCTTTTGTCGAGATCCAGAAACCACCCGTGCGAAGCCGGGGCGGATTGTTAGTTATAATATAAATTCAAATAATAAATAAATTTAGTCACCCAAAATTTAAATACATTCGTGTCGTACAAAGTAATTTATGCTAGTATAAAACAACATGGATTGAGATTCCGTAAAACTCGCTCGAATCGCTTGTACTCGTATAGTTCATTTTATGTACTAACAGTAAGTTTTATTTCCACGTTTGTATTCTCTTTCTTGTGAATTGACAATAGCGTTTTATTGTTAAGTTGTGTCGTTAAAACTGTGTTTTTCTCTTCGTATGCTTCGTTTTATAAAATCAAAAGTAACAAAACAAGTTTATAGGTGAATAAACAGATATTATTGTCAACTCATAGTAATAAACATTTATAAACATCGAAATAATGAAGAAGTTGGCCTCCTAGCCTATTTTTTACAACATTTAAATAATTGAAAAGCATTTTTGATTGTGACAGAAGGAAAAGTGCAGCCAACACTCCGCTTATCTTACCGGAGTCATTTCGTATCTATGTACCTGAGTAGTTAGAAATCTTCGATAGTGTGATTCAGGCTTCGGTTCGTTTCGCCTGGGGTACTATGATAGTAGTAGGGATAAAATGGTCAAAGTATGCGATGCAACGCTCCTTCGTTGGTGTACGTGTAGAGTCAGACACTTGTCACTTCTTAGTGGACGCACGAGTACAAATTTATACCATGTTTTCTGATTCTGAGAGTGAGTTAGAGATTCTCTAAGCTTTGAATGAAGTAACACAGTAGTCACTTACCATCAGGTGGACTGTTCGTGTGTTTCTTCAGTTATAAAAAAAATGAATAAATGAGACGAAAAAAGAGTAATTTTGGAAATAGGTGTATTTATAGATTTAGTATGAACTAAATATACTATATCTACGGGTATATTCAGGAGAAAAACTCATTCAGTTTGAATACGTTTCACACCTAGAATCATAATAAAATTATCTTAGATGAAATTTACTAATAATAGTATTCAATTGTAAAAGATAAAGCAAACGCTACTTATTTTTAAAAACGATATTAAATCCATTCAGCAAAGTGAATGTTAAGGAAGAATATTAGTGGATGTGAAGCTTAAAGATTAAAGTTTAAGTTCTATTGCAAAGACGTATTATGACATTTTTAAGATTAAAATTAGAATTTACATTTTCAACATATATTTTGATGAAAACTTTCAAAATTTTTAAGGTTATTTATTGTAATTAAAAAATATAATCATAAATGACCATACAATATTTTTTACTAGTATCACAACAAAGTCCGTCAATATACAAAGTGTTTGACCGTAGTCGCTTTTGTGCTGCCAGTTTTAATGAGTTTCGGATACTGTCTATTTGAAGAATTTTATGTCTAATTTTTTCTAAAAGGAAATTTAATTAAAAACTTTTCCAGACAAAGAAAACAGTAAATTAAAGGTGCCTTTCGCGATGACTTGAGATGCTCAGAGATAAAGTAGTCTTTAGATTTTGTTTTTCGGAAATGGATATTTTCATTTTATTCTTGAATTATGATATCAAAATATCGTTAAAGTATAAATACAAAGCACTTCAGGTGAAAATTATAATCATTCTTGCAGAGTCCTTTATTTATAAATTTTAATTTTAGTATGACCTCTCTTGTAATACTTTTGTAATTTTTTTTTAATTTGTTTTTCATAGAAATAGGGTGACAAACAAGCACACAGTCCACCTGATGGTAAGTGGTTGTTGTGGCCCATACATCACAGACATCTATCGTCGTTTGGGAATGAAAATTCAGCTGTGTTATCAGCCTTGAGGCCTAAAATGAAATGCCTCTTTTCCAGAAAAAGGGTCTCCGGTTCTCTACACTCATCATACGACACACAGCATTAAGCTGTTATTTTACGCTGGTACTCTGTGACAGCGCGATCCTTCCCCGATCGAGCTGACCTCTTCGTGCTACAACTATACTATAAATATAGTTGCAGCTTGGCTGTACCATGTAAAATATCTGTATCATCTATCATGTCACGTACAATTAAAGACAAATTAAATTGATATCATTTATTATTGGCGATAAGTTTATTCCACTCTTAATTCAATCATACATAAACTGTTAATTAATATATTGCAATAAATAAATAATATTTTAAACATTATTCATATATATGTTACGGGTATAATCCGAAGTGCAGATACACCTAGGCTCAGCTGGCTACAACTAGGTGCAGTCGATTGAATTTGGTTAAACTTACGTGTTTCTGTATATTATAGAAACATATATATATATATATATATATATATATTATGTTTCTGTATATTATAGTACTATAAGTATATTAAGTATATATATACTATAGTACTGTATATATATATATATATATATATATATATATATATATATATATATATATATATATATATATATATATACACAAATATATATTATAAACTCTGTCAATTAATGGATGAAATATCAAGAATCATCAAAATATTCACGAATGAATTTCTGTATTATATTTCGTTAATTTTAACAAAATTACAATGTCACACAATTTTCTCATCATGTTCTTCTTCATTATCAATCGGTGATATATTTAACCTTGAAGAGCGTTGTGCTTGTAACTCTGGAGGTTCTTCAATGTCAGGAATACGATAAGCCATTAACGCAGCTCCATAATTTCCCAAACCAGTATCACAAAATACGATCTAAAAACGATTATTAATTAAATTTGAATTTTTAAACGTGAACTATGAACCTAACCTAATCACGGCTCTTGCCGCTAAAAATTATATTAATACAAACCTTAGTTACCACTTTTATAAAAGAAATTATATAACTGGAAACCCAGTCAATAAGTTCCTTATTACTATGTCAAATATGCTCTAGTATTAAATAATTCTATCAGTCATATTGATTAAAATTTTCAAAGAAATAGTTATAGTCCAGGAGAAATCAGCGCATGAGTACTGAAAACTATTCCACCTCAATTTTTAAGCGATTCTCTTCAAATTTCCCTACTGATGATATAAATGCTATGGGGCAACTTGGTGCCATATTTTTTAAACCGATTTTTTTCAATAGCAAGGAATTGCTATTTTTAAACGGGACATTTTTTTTATATTTTACAGCAACGACTAACTATCAGGTGGACTGTGTGTTCGTTTGTCCCCCTTATCCTATAAAGAAAATAAAGGTTGTTTTGTTTTTTTTAACACTCCAATGAGCTGTAGAAGCCACTTAAATTCACACAAAATTTAGTAATGATAATGTTAATAATATTTATTTATAATAAAAGTGATAAATTATTAGAGTATAATTAATATTTAATAATATATAATTATTATTTATTATATATTTTTATAATTATTATTTATTAGAGTAAAACTGGTAACCTAAGTGAAATGAGCAACTAAAGGCCAATCTCTCTAGCCACAGTGGTTGCTAAGGTTCTTGACGGTTTGCTTAACTCACAACTTGACCGGTATGTAAACACTCATGATAATCAATTTGGTTTTAAACCGGGACTGTCTACTGAGTCAGCTATTTTGTGTTTGAAGCAAACTGTCAAGTATTACTCCGAAAGGAGCACACCTATTTATGCCTGTTTCCTTGACCTCTCGAAGGCGTTCGACCTGGTTAGTTATGACATGTTATGGCAAAAATTAAAGAACATCTCATTGCCTCTCGAACTTATAGAAATCTTCAAGTACTGGTATTTTAACCAGATCAACGTCGTTCGATGGTTGGGTACTCTGTCGGAGCCGTACAGGTTGGAGTGCGGGGTGAAGCAGGGGGGGCTGACCTCACCAAAGCTCTTGAACCTGTACGTGAGCGCACTAATAGAGGCGCTCAGCAGCACCCGTGTCGGCTGCCATATTGACGGTATTTGTGTCAATAATATTAGTTATGCGGACGACATGGTGCTGCTGAGTGCCTCGGTGTGTGGTCTGTCCAGGTTGCTGGGAATCTGCGAGCGCTATGCGTTGGATCACGGGTTGCTCTATAACGCAAAGAAGAGTGAATGCATGGTCTTTCAGGCCAGGGGGCGGGGCTGCCCGGAGACTGTTCCACCTATTAGACTGAACGGTGTGGAGTTAAAAAGAGTCAAACAGTTTAAATATCTCGGGCATATCGTGACCCCTGACCTGAGGGACGATGCGGACATCGATAGGGAGCGGAGGGCGTTGTCTGTGAGGGCCAATATGATCGCCCGCAGATTTGTTCGTTGCTCGAGGGCCGTCAAAATAACTCTTTTCAGAGCATTTTGTACGTCCCTGTACACGGCCAGCCTGTGGGTGTCATATACCCAAAAGCAGTACAACGCACTCCGTGTGCAATATAATAATGCGTTCAGGGTGCTGTTGGGGCTGCCTGGGCACTGCAGCGCGTCAGGGATGTTCGTCGACGCCCGTGTCGACTGTTTCTACACAACGATGCGAAAGCGGTGCATATCTCTGGGGCGCAGGCTCCGGACCACCTCCAACACCATCTTGAGCGTATTTGCGAACAGGTTTGATTGTCAGTACATTAATCATTGTTATATGATTAGTGTAAGGACAAACAAACAAATGACTCAGATGCAGTCATATTATTGATTTTTATATTTAATGTTGTTAATTTGGTTTTAATGGTTTTAAGTCTAGTTAATAATTTTAATTTAATATAATTCAATTTTATTTTAATTTAATTCAAATGTAATCAAAATTTTTATTTCATTTCAAATGTAACTATGATCTGATAGATTGAAATAAATGATAATTATTATTATTATTATTACTAAATAATACCTTATCCTCAATTAGATATCTAATATAATAAATCTCATTGTATTTAATAAAGCCCAATTTTTCGGCTATAGCTTGACCACGTGAAGTTGTAAATATACCGGCGATAGCTGGCACATTTGCACTTGAAGCAAGAGCTGTTGCAGCTTTTAACATTTCATTTGCAAGACCTGTGTAATTTTCAATACAGCTTCGTCATAATATGAAAACAAATTATAAAATATTCTTAAAAAATATATACCCATAATGTTGGACTTAATATTTTAAATTCTACATACCTCTATGACGATACCTGGATTTAAAGGCTAGAAGATATATTTTTAAATATCGACGTACACCCAACTCATCAAAAAGGTTGACTGGTTTTTCAATTTCATTGTAGAATGTAGTGACAGTTGTATATAGAGGATTGTATGTAATCTTGACACGGCTAAATGTGCGAGAAAATGCGCCTAGGAAAATTATGAAATGTATTTATTTTATATTAGCGATTTGATGCTTAAAAACATTTCCATGTGACTGCATGTTATTGATCAACTCAAGAAAATGTAGGAAATAAATGAATTACGTATACATATAGCATGTTTCCTTTAAAACGACAAAAAGTTTAGAGCACTGTTGATAATTATTCATGAAGTCAGGCATCCAACTACAAAGCATGTTAATAAACGTCAGTGTCAAATAGAGCAACACCTTGTTTTATGTCTTACTGTAATTTATCTTAAAATAATTTCAATAAATTCCAATCCAACAAAGTATCTAAAAATCTAAATATCAATATTATTGTCTTCGATATAACAAAATTTTACTTAACGCGGACTTTGATGAAATTTTTATAACAATATCAATACCAATACATCCTATAAAAGTTCAATGCTGAACATAGACCCCTCCATACATTAAATCATAGGGGAATTTAGCCGTAGATGCCACGCTTGACAAGCGGGTAGGTAACCGCAGATTTTTATTATTATGAGTTGTAATCAGGAAGATGCTACTGTATATCTACTGTTTCAGTTTCCTTCTGTTGCCTCTTACAACACCTGTTAGACGATATGTCTTATTTTACACCTCTACTACAAAGTATTGTATAGTCTATGTTAAGAAGTTATAGCAATAATAATATAATGTAGAGTAATTTCCATATGTCTAACTTATCTTGACAGAGAGAGTGCATCTGTGCATCTACAATTTTTGGACTCTTTTCGAGTTTTGGAGGAATTATCACCTTTCTCGAAAATCAACGAGTAGGAGAATTTTAAACTAATCAACAAATTATGACAAGCTTACTTCTATAATCTGAAGCTTTTATATAAGAATCATAGGTGACTATAACTTACTTTTTTCTTGTATTCTCATAATAAGAACTCCAACCAGTTGGTCTGTCCCTTCTTTGACTGCTGCTATTGACATTTTGTCTTTCATCCATATACGAACATTATGAATAAACTCATGAGTTCCCTCTTGGTTTTGTGCAAGTTTTACTGATCTGAAGGTTATCTGTGATTTAGTAAAATATAAAAGAAAATTGAAGGAAATGCTGATTTTTTCTTTTATTTTATAACAATTTATCTATTTTCCACTGAAATTGATCACTGTCATGATCATTTTATTTTGTTGTTATTTCCCTGATCTTTAATAAATAAACAATATTTATAAATTATTAAGAAAAGTCTTTAAACGTTTCACTGCTGGCTTCCTCTCATAACTAAGAGGGTTACCAGAAAATAGTTCCTCGCGCTGCTCTAATGCGTTATGACGGACTTTACTTGTCATATTTAATAAAATGTTTAGAACATATTTTAGGTAAATTCATTCTTATGATGATCATTTACCTCTTCAGGAATATAGTGCTTCTTTATCAACGTCACAGCATCTTCATATCTTTTATCTTGAAGGTCTTCGAAACGTAAACCGCATGGTACTCGACCCCATATTGAAGGTGCTTTGATCCTTTCTTCTAAAATTTTCATTTTTTCTATCTCTGTTTCAGCTTCACTTTTCGCCATTTCAAACATAAGTTTCAAAATCTAATTCAATAATAAATACAACGTCATATTGTCAACCTCGAAATGTTATGTAATTTTAAAATTTGAGCTTGAGATGTCAAGAAAATGAAGTGATTTTGAATATTGTTAGTTAAAATTGATACTTAATCAAATATGACTTATTATACATAAAATTTATATAAATTTGATATTATATACTGAATATAAAAACACAAACATCTTTGTGACATTATTTATAAAAAACTATGTCATAGATTATTTTTATATCTATGAGGAAATATAATATAATCTATAATAATCACTGACCGGATGTATCTAAGTGACCTTTATCCGAACGTTAAATGTGAATAGCGTTTATTGGTTTCGGTGCGAGAAGTTATCGAATCCGAGTCGATTTCGCTTTCCGAGACGATTGTGAATAGCCCGGCTGTACTACTCTTAGGACTATTGGTATAGTATACCGCAGGCATTAAGTCCGCCTATATAGATACCTGTGATTATTACACCCATACAATAAAGAAACTTTTAATTTTTTGAACTCGGTTTAAATATATTAATGTGTATAGTAACTTACTTATTATACTCAGAATCGGAATAAAATTAAATCATTTCAACAGACAAATGAAAAGTTATGAAAAAATTCCGGCTCATGTACTACAGTAGACTATTTATGAGCTGAAGATGAAGATACTTTGGTCAAAGGTGGGTAACGTCTGGTAGTAACACCGGCAATTCCACCTAAAATTCTAAAATGAAAGTTTTAATACAATAAAATTGAGTATTTCAAGCCTAATTATTGAGGATAAAAAAAATAATTTGGAAATAAATTCTTAATTTATCGTGTAAGTATATTCTATCCTTCTGTAGACCGCTGAACTTCTTTTCAAAATTGAGGAAAAAGGATTGATCATAGTTATATAATCAATCATTGCCGAATGCATGGCAAATGGATGTGTGGTCCCAGATTTATTTTTTAAAATTATAAGGATAAACATAGGCTTAAGAGGCAACTTAAGAGATACTTATTATGCAGAAGATTTTTTATGTGTAGCCGGTTTCTACAATTGATTAAAAGTGTAACTATTTTATTGTGTGGTTACATACCACATTATTTATTTTCTACAATATTTAGAAACACTCTTCTTAATTAATTAAGAATCGTTCAAATCGGTGTAGCCGTGTCCAAGAAATCAACGAACAAAAAAAACACTCATCCTATAAAGAAAATTTCATTTTTTGGACTCGGTTAAAAATATATTTACTTATACAATAACTTACTTATGATACTTAGAGTTGGAATAAAAGTAAATCACTTCCCTTGTTATTGGATGAAAACAATGCTCACAGTTCCACAAAACACTTCATAATAACCAAAGAAATCAACAATAGCTATCACTTCTTTTAACTTCTATGAAAATCTATCGTATATAAGTATTATGGTTAATTAACACCAAATACCGACTGGCACGGTGAACTACATACTTAGATAAGTTTTTAGTTACTTATAAGTCTGCAAGGCAAATCAATACGATCGGGCAAAATCAAAAAGTTTTCAAGGTAGCGGTCGGAAAATCATGTTAAGAAATTTAACAAGTTCTCGGTGCTATCGGTAACGTCGTCGAATCTTAGGGTATGAAAAACCGTATATATATACGGTTTTTGATACGTACCCTAAGATTCACTGACGTATATATATATATATATATATATATAAAACACCTTACCAAGATACCTTGTTTGAAAAATAGTTGAAAACAGGATAACGGATCCTTAGCATTCCTAGTTCCTTCTACTTTTGGGCCCGGTGGTGTTATCCTAATGTTTTGGGGTCGAGTTCGCGTTGCTGATGGAACATATTTGTACCAAATAATTCCGTGTGGTGACTTAAAGACTGAACTGCGCCTTCTGGTAGTAGTCTTCACATTCACGGAGTTCTGACTCGCGGACTATGGCCTGCAAGTCTGGTTCTGGCTGTACTTCATCATCTTTACTCTCAATTACTTCTTCGTCTTCAGTATCTATCTCATGCAGCCACCTTTTCACTTGTGATTCATCTATGTTGTAATCGTATATAAAAAATCTGTGAGAAAATACTAAAATAAGAAAAAAATATTCAGTTTACAATTTTAGCCAATATATAAATAATAATAATTTAATATACTTATACATAAATACGTTATCATTAAGTAAATAATATTATAAAACCATTACAAATCGATAATACACCAAAAGTTACACACCTAAATTTGATACACCAATACACGCGCGGACTACTTTAGTAGACCCACGCTTTTGGAGCCAAATTTCTTGTGCATGCGTACGCGCTAGGTTTGCGCAGGGTACTGAGGATGTGACAAATATACCAGATGAGACTTACCTAGAACCACTACCGTTTAGCGTTCTAAACTAAAAAGTTGATGCAAAAATCGACAACCCTGGTCTACTATAGTAGACCACGCGTGCACTCTAGTGTTGATAATTAATGTTTGGTCCGATCTACGCAGAACGAGCTTAAAGTATCTTAAAGTATGTTTAGGTTGGGATTTAATTTTAATAATTTTGGGACCACAAACAAATAGCAACACCCAGTCATCTTTTCTATTGAAATTAGGAAGATTTTTAATTTCAATAGACTCGCGATTCATCTTTGGTAGGAATCGGTGTTCTTTTACGAGGATTTGTAGTTTATCAGATCTGATAATATGGACGATACTCTGAACATGTGGACATACTTCAGAATTTCCGGAGCGTCGGTGTTTTACATTAGTGATATGTTCTTTTAAAAATTAAATACCATAAAATCCGTAAAATAGTTTTATTACATATGGTAGTATTCTCGTAAATATTATACCTTTATTTATGAAAATTTGAAGTCTACTCCAACGTAGAAAAAATACCTATACTAAAACTATTTTATAGTACCAATCAATATTAAATGTGATCAATGATAGGAATCAAATATCGCAAATAAACATTATATAGAAGACCATGAAATTCATCATTATTTTGTTAAAACTAAATTTATTTTGTTTATGAATGACTTTTATAGGCTGTAATGTAAACGTATTGATTATATTCTCTTTGCTGTAATGTATGATTGGAATGTATAGCACATATCATTGAATAAATTTGACAGCAATTTTCACGTATTACTTTTAAAATATGCAGGTTCTCTAAATCGTTTGGTAACGACACAGAATACGTGAACAATAGCACCTGAAATTTTTAAATTATAAATTCCAGTGATTCCAATGCTGGATATTGAAACCAATTTGCACGCGCCCTGAAGCGAGCAGTTGATTTATGATGTGTGAATAGTTTAGTTACCTTATCATTATACTTACTATATTTACATTTTTATATAAATTATAGTAGTAAAAAAGTGTAGAAATAAATGAATTGCGGTGCGCACTGGATTTATGGTTTCCACGTGTAAGTTTAATGTCACAAGTTTTCACCATTTACTTACTGCATCACCTTTTTCTCATTGTCAAGTTTAATTAATTATTATCAATTAGTAAAAAGAGCTGCGGTAACTCAGGGCCTCAGATGCTAACTGCACCAAATCTATAACATTTTAGAAATGAGCTGTAGCATGTACACAACAGTATACAAATAATAATTATAATGGTACGAGATAACGAATTTCGGTCAAGGTCACCATCATATATTTTATACACTAGTATATATAGTATTTAACTACACTCTATGTCCTTACTTTCATAGTCCGATGGTGCGGCAAACATCGTGTTTTCTAAGGCACGCGGGTACAATACCGCCCAACTCAAGATTCGTACCAGGAACCTCATATCGGCAGTCGCGCTTACGAACACTAGACCTATGAGGCAGTCACAATGCTCGCATAAAAGTTGGTCTGCCTAGTCCAACTTTTATGGTAAAACTGAAACCAGAGGCAATTCCAAGCCATAGATAATATGCGAATCTCAGGTGTTCTCTAACAGGCGAACAAAAATTTTAAGTCTGTAAAGCAAAGACTATATAATCGTTACGTTTTAACGTAAAGTATAGAGTAATTAAATAGGATGTACTTGTATTTATAGAGGTCCGTGTCAAAGAGAATATAACCACTACGTTTAGTCAGTGTAAGTAAAGAATCGCATTTGACAGTAAATGTCAAATTTCTCGAAGGCTATGGCGCCGCGGCCATAGAAATTTTTATGTGACAAATACCCTTTTTTAAACCCTAGGCTACTAGTAAATCGTTTGTTCTAATATGGCCGTGTGGGAAAAAAATGCGAACACAACTATAATGAAAACTAAAAAGAAGCGCGGTTATTTACGGGCCGTATTACAGGCTTCTTTATGTTACAAAATTTTGTATACACTAAATCCAGGTTGTGTTCTCTAATATTCTTATATTAAAAATTATATTTGAAGCATAGCTATTATAGCACCCAGCTTAATCATGGTTACCAGGTTAGATATTTTAAGTCGCACTATTTTTGCTATGAAGGTCGTGGAGCATAGTGCTAAGTAATAATCATATAATACGTCCTCCATAAACTATCATTTGCCATAGTCGCCACGCTTGGCAGGCCATTTGGCAAACGCAGCATATTCTGTTCAGTCGTTATTTGGAAGACGCTGCTGCATATTTTGTGATTTGTATCTCTCTAATGGATGTTCTTACGCTGCCACTACACGGTAATCATTTAACAAAAATCTTTATTTTATAAAAACGTTTGAATATTGAATTAAAAATAACAAAACTGTAACGTAAATGGTCATGTTCTAAATATCAATTTTAATTTAGACATATATGTGCTAAGCAACAGCTCATTTAAAACATAGAAATGTATGCTAATGAAAAAAGTTTTAGTTATGTGTGTTTACTTTAATTTTGCTGGTTCATTACGCTACCTGGCTTGCAGTTAACACGCTCGTTGAACTTTTAATTTTCTTCGTGGTGCAGTAAAGAAAAAAATATTAAAAAGTACTATACAATGAATATTACAATAGAAACATAAAATATATAAAGT